AAACGTTATAAACGACCTCGCGAATCGCAATTTACTCACAGTTATTTATTTATATTTAATTTTCGCGATAAAACGCGACTCGCGAATGGTATTAAATTCGCGAGCGTATGCGATGCGCGACAGGTACGGACGGGAAATACAACCGCGTCTAGTTTAATGAGCTATCGATTCAAACTAGACGTCGTTTTACGATTTTATATGCACGGCGATGCGTCGGCGATCAATCACAATTACGAGATCGCTTGCCGATGCGAGTGCCGCGAAATATCGTCACGCGAGAGTTCATCGAGCGAGATATTACGAGCGCCGGTGGAGTCTTTGCGAGAATGTAACCAGCCGGTATGACAAATCGTCTACATGCCATGCGCAAATCCAATTTTACGAAGCACGATCCCGGCGGATGGAAGTGCATCGGCAACGCCGAGGGACGCCACGCAATACGCCCCCGCCTGGTCTCAGGCATGACGGCGGTTGAATTCCACCGGGAGTGCAAGCTTTTGGCGACTTAGCCAGGCAACCCTGGCCGTCCTCGGATAGCGAAAAGGGGATGTATGCCGGAGAACTCGGGTGGCTTCGGATATCCTCTCGAGAACGGAGAGCGCATCGAGGTAGCGATGGGAACGAGACCGAGAGACGAGTACCGAGTTTCGATCTTCCGACGTGGGCGATGTTACGTCGAGTTTTATAAACTCGAAACCCGCTAACCCGGAGATATTTCGGCAATTTCGAAAATCGAGCGAGGCATGTTGATAGCGCGAAAGACACGCGATAGCCTTTTGATTTTATCGTTCCTTCTTATGGCATCGAAAATTTCGGTAACTCTTTTGAAAAGTTGGGAAATGTCCAACGTCAGGTTAGACTTTGAAGACTTTCGATCGCCAAAGTTTCTTGACATTGGTCGAGAATTCGAAGAGTGCCCGACGCTATTGAAAACTTCCTAGTTAACGGCGCGGGTGAGAAATCGCGAGTGCACCGTCCGGAATCTCGAATTTGCGCTTGGCAATCGATGGGATTCCGCGCCATCGCTGCCGGCCTTACAATTTCACCCTCGGTCCTTCGAGGTCTTCGTGAAAAAGAATCGTATGGAGACCGGAAAGTAAGCGTCGAGAGTGTTATATATTGCGCCAAAGCGTGCATTTCCACAAAAATAACTATACATTTCTATTACAATTCTCCTCGACTTTGCGTATAATTGCCTCGACCGTAGCGTTATAAATCGTCTCGACGATCTCTCTTTTGTCACGCTCGTTTACTTTATACAAAGCTTAACGGGCCTTACGCAATTTGTAATTAAGAGATTTTTCCAACACAAAGAAAATACATAAATCAGGTAACAATCCCTGTCTTTGTCGACGTGGCAGATTTAATAATAGTGGTATATTGTGTGCCATTCAGATTTAAACTCGTAGTACGACAAGGTAAAGAGAAACGTCTGCCATTCTATACAATTGATGTAAAGTGAAAGAAAGCGATAAAAAGACACCGTTTTAATTTACGCACAATCTCTCAAATTCAAGGACGATTGTGCGTAGACGATGAGCTTTGCTGCGCTGTTTCGCGCCCGTTTTCGTACGAGGCGAGGCAAGATTGTATACAGTTAGGTAATAATAACTACGAATGCATGCCTTATCCCGGCAGTGAGTACTTAATGTAAATGATTTTGCCAAGTTTCGCGGGACAAAGGGCGCGGGCGTAGTTTCGAAACTCGCATGCTGGCAACAACCCCGGAAGTTTCTCTGAATTTTAATGAAAAATGGAGCGGGTATCGCGCGCGCCGGTCGTATTTGCGTTACGAATGCTGGTGGTGATGGTAACGGAGGTTGTGCGATGGTGCCGGTGATGCTGGCGGTAGAAGAGGAGATAGAAGGGAGAGCGCGAAACAAACACGGCTCTAGTTCGGTAAATTGTTTGAGATTATCGCGCATTACTATCAATTAGCATCTGCGCATCGTGTACACGTTACTCGCGTAATACCGCGGAAAAAGGACAGATGATGCCTGCCGCGAAATACAGGGCCGTCGTTATGTCGGGTGTTGTAGTGCGATACATCTTGCCGAAATTTTATTTCGTATATTCACGGTTAGAGAGTCACGAGATTCGAGTTTCTAAATCGTACGAGAGACCCTTTCGCTATTAAAGCGTGGAATAAAATCTCGAAAAATATTCAAGTATGTATATTAAAAATATGTTATTTAAAATGTTATTTGAGAGTAAATTTTATGACGACTTATTTCACCATGAAACAGTCACAAATAGCTAGATATTGCATCGCGCTTCACATGGTTTTTACGATACGCATTATTTTAACTTCTTTAATTTTGATACCAAACTTTCGAATAAATTAATTGAATAATGCGCAGGAATGCGCGCGTAACGAACGAATAACACGCATAATCGTAACGAGAATGTCACTCGGAAATTGGTCAACGCGCGCGTAAATTCCATATGCGCGTAAAAAAAGAACGTAAATCGTTTTAAAGCGCGCAATTTAACACTCGGTTTATACGAGCGCGAGGTATGTTTCAGAGACAGACATACGGCCACCCCGTCCGTCCTCGGTTAAATCGCGTTCGCAATCAGTCGCCGCAATCGTCGCGATCGACGACGAATTATGGTCGCGTCGGCCCTGCGACATGAAACCTGGAGCTGGAGGGTGGCGGCAATTACACCCCGCAGGGCCGCATTCGCCCGAGGATACATCTGCCCTTTCTTACCCCGACGTGACCGACGAAATTATGTGTATAATAGACGCGCACGCGCTCGCAACTGTCGTGGCAAAAACGATGAAATCCGATGAAGGGATTACACGGGCAATCGTATTTAACCCCTTAAATGGGAGAGAACGCGAATGGATATAGCACATTTTGCAAATTTGCATATCGATATTAAGTATTGAGATTTACTTCGCGTTTGAAAGTAATCCTCGAAAAAAATCTTTCTTTCCGATTGTAATTTTTTAATAATTATTCAGAAATATTTTTTAATGCAATTTTCGGCTTCTCATTTTTTCCATCATTAATGAGAAATAATAAAAAAGGGAATATTTTGTTATTAAAGTTAAAATTTCATAAAATGTATTATTATAAATGTATTATTATATTATTATAAATGTATTATTATTATGTATTATTATTATTATTATTATTATGTATTATTATAAATGTATTATTATATTTATTTTTAGTCATATTTTACTATTTTAAATCAATGTTGCTCGGGATAAATGATAGGATAATATGCTCGCATAAATACTACTTTTATGTATATGCATCAAATATCATATTAAATGTGAGAAAATATGATAGCAGGTCATTTCAATCTAATGTTTCATTCCATTTATCGGATAATTGAGAATCGTTCATTTAATCGGGACGATAGCAAAATTCGCTTCTATCGTGTCCGTTTGAATATAATCATTAAGTTGTATAATTAATCACTGCAAGAGAGAGATGCGAGACAATACAGGAAATGGTGCAAAGAGAACTTTCGTTGCTCTCATTCATCATCACAATTGATTATTGCACTTGCTTCTTTGTTTTCAAAACGTTCTCTTCGCAACGGCTATTTGTCTTTATAATTTACGCTTACCTTCTTGAAGTCAGAACGATATGCTATTATTCGCGAATATAACGCATGGAAATAAAAATGCGCGTATTACGTAACAAAAAACGTAAAAATTTCTAATTTGTAAAAGTTATGTAACGCGATCATTTGTAATTATATAATAGAATGTAATTTATCGCACAAATAAATAATAGAATATCTATATTGACGACACTCTTTGAAAATAATATTTTATAATTACATGTATAATTAATATAATAAGAGAGAAAGAGTCCAATAATTAACACAATCTTTATTATTTATATTATAATAATTAAATATGAATTTCTTTTATATAAATTATTATTTTCCAACCTTTAATTGCATCGACTATAACGTTGTAAATTTCACTTTAAAGAAAAGGAAATGTAAGAAATTTAAATAGGAAATTTAAGACTCTCTTTCTCTCTCTCTCTCTCTGCAGTGCTACATTTGCAAGAAACTTGAAAATATTAATATTTAACACTCACCATTTTCTTCTTTACATTGTACATGAAGCCGGAAGTCCGCAATAGCAGCGTTGTCAACGAGTCGAAAACCACCGGAAGTCGCTTTCAATCCTCGATCCTTCAGCAGCATCCCTCGTTGATTTCACTTCACTCACTCGCGACATACGTTATTCATTTACGGCAGTTCTCGCGAATTAACGTAGCGTGCGAGTTTATCGCGCCGTTTTTACGGAATAACTCACACGTAAACACGCGAAAGAATTCTTTCGACGTTTGTTTACGTTGCGCGGGAATGTTTACGTTGTGACGTCACGCGGCAGCCAATTTTTTAACGACGCGCGTATTTGTATATTCACTTCGAATCGAATAATATAAACGAACGATCGCAACCGCGTACCATAATTGACACGTTACAGTATCATTCAATCACTCTCGTCCGATGTTCGATTATGCACGCGACGCACTTGGTACGTGAAAATAATGGCGGCGGTCATTTAGGCGGAAGTTTTGACGCGACGCGAATATCGTACGCGGTATATTAATCACAGTCGCGTTGATTAGCACGCTATGACGACTGCACGATACTTCATTCGATATTCGTACTCGCGTTAGTTTGCTCGATTATTAACGCCCGACAAACTCACCTTGCCTTCCCACAACTTCTCTTCTCGCACCCACACACGATCGCGAAAAGCGAGTAATGGACTCGCCTCCGAAGCATTGCAAGTCGTTGAGCGACTTGGCATATTTTCAAAAATCACAATCGATCAAGACTCGATTATATATTGTGTTTACAATACAATATAATACCGATTATGCGTAAATTAATAAAAGACTAGAAAATCGAGCGCTATAATTTAAACAGTTTTCCTGTTTAGCTTCTCATTTGACGAGCGTATTATAGAAACGAATCGAAAGCGCGAAGTACGTTGCAAAAGTCACGAACTGTCATGGCGGATGTGTAGTGCGCGTCGAATTCGCGTCCGCTGCTCGCGAGCTGAAATAATTCGATTACCGTCGCGAAAGTTATCCTAAATCTACGTGTGATGTGTATCAGCGTCCGCTTTTCTCGCGTAGCGTCGAAAAACTGCCGGCCATTCGTGTTAATTACGTATCCCGGGACGATAATCGAGGCCGCTCGACAATCGCCGAACAAGTGGACGACGCGAGTGAAGTTGAATACAAAATGCACGGAATTCGGGAGTTCAAGCTTTGAATCGTCGCGATATATTTATTTGCGTGATATGTGTGTTTGTTATCAGGTCGACGAATCGGCCGAAAGTAGCGTTATCGCGCAGCTTCGCGAGAGAAAGTCAAAAGTGTAATCAAGCGTCTCTCTCGTTCTTGGAAGTGCGTGCGACTTATTGTCAGCTCACCACACACGACGATACACACATAACCGCCGTGTAGAAAGACGGATCAGTGCGGCCCTGGGATCGCGATACTGCCTATTCGCGTGAGGCACACGATATATACGCGTATTCGACGCCTTCTTATGTGTGTATATCATGGCGCTATCCACATACGCGTCGCTCGTTCTCTCTCTCCCCCTCTCCCGCTTCCCCCTCCCTCTCGCGGTACAGCGTAGTACCGCGCGTCGCCATCGCCGGTGAGACGGCGGCGCTGTCAGTCCGACTTCTGCCGTGGCGCCATCGCGTTGCGTCGTCGTTCGTGCTCCGAAGTCCACGCAGCGAGCCACAGTTCGCTCTCCGCAGCTCATCGCGTCACTGTGAAAGGAGTTAGACGCACCTTGGTCGTGTGTCGTGTGTACGCAGCAAGGTCGCGTTAATCTCGTCGCGCGCGAAAAATGCCGGACAGTGAGTGAAAATCGAGAGCGAATAAACAGCGACGCCGTCGAAAGTTTGATTCGCCGGGAAAGGGGAAAGGAACGAAGGACGTGAATCGCGGCGCGCGAACTCGAAACGGACGGGCGCGCGCGACACATGAGGAGGAGGCGAACTCGCCGGGCGAGTTCGGACGAAGAGAGGAAGCCAAGAGCAAGAGCGGCACTACCGGGAGCGGCCTTACAGCGAGGAATGCAGCTTCGGGATCGTAATCTGCGGCCACGGCCGGCCGCCACGCACTCGGAGACATGACGCGATGATCGTCGAGGCACCCGGTGCATCCGCCTTTACTGCTCCATCACGCCGCTGCCGCCGCCGTCGTCGTCGTCGTCGTCGCCGTTCGCGTCCTCCGCCCGCGTCCTCCTCTCTCTGTCTCTCTCTGTCTCCTTCCTCTCCTCTCTCTTTCTCTGTCTCTCTCTCTCTCTCGCTCGCTCGCTCGCTCTTGTCTCGCGTGCTCGTGTGTGTACGTGCGCCGTTCCATAATCGGCGCGGAAAGTGTGACGGATAAGTTGTTTCGTCGGAAATGCACCGGTCAGGAATCATGGGTGATGTGCACGGGCTCCGTCTAGTTAGTGACTTGGACCAGGAGGATATCAGAGACGACGTCGGCATGTCCATTAGGGTAAGTTTTTCCACAAGTTATCGTAAAAATGTACGTGTTATCTCGATGATTTCCTTTACACGTTTACACGTCACAGATTTACATTACGCCGAAAGAATTCGAAGGCCAAATTCTTTGTCCGTCGCGAGCGGTTTTTTTTTGCGCGTCAGCTGCCTCGCTCGATTCCGCGTCAATGTTTACATTGCATTCCGATACTTTACTCGAAAATCTCGTTAACATGATTGTTTCTATTCATTTTAAAATCAACAGGGAACAAAGTCAATAGAGAAAAATGCTATTTTACGCGATTATTCCCTTCGTGATATTTGATTCATGTTAGGAAACTTTTGTTTGGAGAAATAACACGCTTATAATTCTCTTACTTTAAACGAGCCTTTAAAAGGAATAATGCGTCGATTTATTAGAGCGATTTCGAATGATTTTGAATTCAGTAAAAAGCAATAGCAACGACGATAACAATAATAACGATATCGTGGATTTATTACTTACGCGGCGCTCCACGTTAATTCATTTGAGATTCGAATTTTGTTGATCGTGCAGGAATACAATAGTGCTTTTTATAAACAAATATGAGCAGCTGATAATAATTATCGCACAATAATTATATTTGAAATATTCTCCGATTCGAAATTTCTTTTTTTTTGCACATTTTTTGCATATTTTTATTCGATTTATATAACATTTTAAGTGATTTCATTATTTTCCAAAAATAACGAAATAGAAAGCATTAACAAATATAACATTGTTGATTATTCGGAAAATAATGATTGATCATTTTCAAGTTTCCTTTTCGATTCAAAATATTAAGTATTGATCGTGACATCATTTTTATTTTATGCGAATGACGGAATAGAGGCAATTTATAATGAGAAACTACTTTGTCATTTAGTACTTGAATATTTTGTTTATTCTGTAATTCAAAATATCAGTTTGACTTTAGAATCAGTACTCTTCGCTTCTCACACTGAAGCACTGTTATGCGAACGATGCAGGAAATCTGATGACGATCATTATAATAATTATATTTCAAAGATAAGTGGTACTTTATGAATGCGAGACTGTAAGAGTTTTTTGCGATGAGATGATTGCATCTCGGCACTCGGCTTAAGAATCTATCGTAAATGACGTAATCGACGAAGCAGCTGATCGTAAAACGATGAAGACTAAGTAATAAATAAATGCAACTAATTATCATTATCGGGAAGTTTAATACTTTAAAAGTTGATTGGATATAAAATTTCGAATTATAGCATTTTCTCGTTTCATTCACATAATTATAATTATATTTCGATAATTTAATATAAAATAAATTACTCGATAGTTATGTAGTAATTGTTGAATTTATATCAATCAGAGGATGCTCTCTATCAAAATCCAGAGATTCATGTAAACGTGATAAAGATGTGTCCGTGCACCGATATTAACAGAAACGCGCGTTTTGCTTCAACATATCATTAGCATTCTCATGTTTAATTTCTATTTGAAGTTTCATGCCCAAAGTTGCGAGATTGTAGCAACTACATCATGTAACTAGCAATCATGCATACCGATGCAGACACACGCGCACAGACTTGCCTGCATTCGCATTCGCATATCGTTAATGCGAATACGAAAGTCCCGAAGTTAGTCCCGAGGAGTTTCAAAACTACGCGCATTTACACTGTCAGACTTTGAACGGCGAGGCGTGAAAAAGCCGCGGCGAAGATTAGACGATGAATGAAAAAGGAAGAGAGAGAGAGAGAGAGAGACGATCGCGTTAATGCCTGATATAAAATTCACGACTGGCGAGGTCGGGCGCAACACTTGACTCGCCGCTGCTAATACTGTTTTACGTAATTAAACCTGAGCTATCAAGGAGGCGAGTTGGTAACGAAATTAATTGATAATGTGTGACATAAAATGCATTAACGGGTTGCGCCTTAAAAGCGCGCATCGCGCGACATCGATATCGTAAACTAGACTTTCTCGTGAAAATGCTCCTCTCTTTCTCTCTCCCTTCTCGATTTTTTTCTTTTTTTTTTTTTTTTTTTTTTTGCGTCACGTTTCCCATTCCGATGCATAATACATAGACTCCCGATTATCAAGGAACATTCTAATCTTCATGATCCTCGCTTGATGCGTGCTTCGCATCTAGACGTTCGCAATCTAATGCGTATCGCGTGATGCATACGCATCGCCGCGAGTGCTGACGCACCGCATTTTCTTCTGCTCTCGGAAATACCGGTTCTCGGATTAATGCATCGGGAGCATTCCGTTTATTCGATCAATCGCGTCACTGTCTCGTATACACCGTGCTCGTAGGATCCTCTCTCTGTGAATCTTGCAACCTAATAATAAACGCTATTCTTCGTATAGCTTTCTTTTCTTTCTGTTCGTCCGTCTCTCTTTCACTTTGCCCTGTTCGCTATAGTTCGCTAGCTTGGGAATGGTATCACGAGCGAAGTCAAAGAAAAAGAACGATGGCAGGAATACGAAGAAGGACGAGAGGGAGAACAGCTATTGTAGATTGTTGCTCTTTTTCTATCTTTCTCAGTTTTCTTTCCGTCTCGCTCGCCCGCTTTTCATCTTTTCTGTATCGAGTATCGAGATTTTTTTCTCCTTTTAAAAGCTTCATCTCAATTTAAATGCTACAATAACACCTATTCATTATATAACTAGTTTCTCATTAATTTTAGTTTTTTTCCTAATGATGCAGGTCTTTGAGCAATAATTTCTTTATATTAATTATTATTTGGATCGTTAACATATTTATATTACAGTTTTTCTTTCCTCGTGTATCTCGTGTATATTTCCCATAATTTTCTACGTCGTGTTATACTTTACGAGTTTACATTCATCATTCTTTATTGCATCCTGCGGTTTAATTCTTTTCACCAACAATATAAGTGTACTCATCATTCTTACTGAATCGATACAACGTAAAAGGAAATTTTAGATATCCACTAGAGTAAGTTATCTGTTGGTGAAACTGGACAGGAGACACGGCTCCTAGACCATATAATAAATGATTTTCCTTCTTCTTTACCCTTTGACGCTCGGCAGGTATATTTTCCGAGACTGCATGGTGCGTGCTGACCTGTGAAAGTTCCAGGAATCGAAATGTATACGTCTCGGGCATTTAGATTATTACACTCGACGGCGATGAGGCTGCTGCTGTGGCAGAAAGATTAAAGCGGCTTAAGCGTAGACCGTTCGTTGCCGTGTGTCAAAGGCGTCGGTGTCGCGCATCTAACGGAGAAGCGCGTCTGACGAACGACGACGAGGAAGAGAAGCGACGGAAAGTGATAAACGCGAACACTGCAAACACGGTTTATCGCGTACGTTTAGATTTTCCATGGTCCCATCACGATGATGCAACGAAAAACTTGCTTTTACACGCGCGTTTGTCAAAAACAAGGTGCGCGCGAGTCCAACGAGATTTTTGCACTCGGATGTCCGTGCCACACCATCCTTGTTTCGAACTAAAAATTGTGCATCGGACGTTGCGGTAAACAAATTTGCAATTTTTGACAATTATTCTCGTTCAATTTGTTCCCTGAAAACGTATGTAAATCCTCGACTATACGGATTTATCTATATTTTAAATTTATAGAACTAGAGAAATACGTTGGAATATCATGTGACGCGGATTATGAAAGAGTTTGTCGCGTCCTTTTAATGTTATAATTACGGAACAGCGCGGACTTGGAAACTAAGAGCTCCGGTAAATATATTCGTTACGAGATATTCGCTACGTTCGCGTTTTCCGTATTAATTTTTCGAATGAACGGAAGGTTCGTGATTCTAAAGAAGCTCGTAACAATTTCCGAGATTGCATAGTATGCCGCGCAAAGTATGTAATGGTATCGCGAGTGTCCGAAGTTATCCAAGGGCTTACGGCTGCATTTTCAAATTATTGCGGTCCATTTCCCTTCTAATTTCCGCGAGCTTGTTTCTTAGCTGCGCGTTATAATTATTGTGTGGCGGTGCCCGTTTTCAAAGTTTATCACGCGACTCGTGGAAGCGGTATGTTTAATATGCTGGCCGAGTTTCTCGCCGAGAAATCTCTCCATTCGTTCCTACGATTGTCAAAAATTCGTCCGTCCGTGAAGTAGCCGTCTGTTCCACGCGAACTTCCGATTCCGGCAACGCTCGACTATTAATACGGATGACACTTCTAATCTCGTAACAATCGCAGAATGGCCTTCGTACGGCATAAATATTTATCGTCTCATTAACATATCATCGATTCTCGAGAGAATTCTCTTGTATCTGTGAATCCTAATGTTGTGTTAAAAAGTCGGATCGATAAAAAACTATTAATCATTATCTTCTCAAGTAGAAACGAAGTTTTGCGTCGTTCGTACGATTGATTAAAAGGAAAAGAATTTGTGCGTAATCAGCATAATTTAATAAATCCAATCGACCCTTTAGTTTTCTTATATTCAATTTTAATATACTTAGCACATTCGGGTTTATCGCTCTTAATTTCGCTATTTTAACATGTATGAAATGAACATTACGTGCCTTCATATAACATGTGAAATCTAGCCATCTAATTTAACAAGATTTGCAAAATTCCGTTCGAATGTCTCGGGCGCGTACGAAATGTCTGAGAAACGCGAGAGCGTAAATCCTTGTAGCCGTCAGATGTGAATTAGAGATTGGATATCGCGACGCTATTGCCGTTTCTTCAGCACAAGTAGATGGGAGTCTGAGTTACGTTAACTCGGTTACGGATAAACGCGGGTGCGTCGATGTCTATGTGTACATAAATCCCGGTCGTGCGAGATAACGCCGCAGGGGGATATCGTATTCTCGTTCGAGTATAACTTTAATACGATAACGCCAAGAGCCAAAGCCTATTAGGGATCCAAAGATTTTTCTTATCCGCGCGCACCTCGACTAGACGGCCCAAGACTTAATCGTGAATTAGCTCAAATTGGAACTAATTTCTTTGCCTTTGTGCCGGGGCGCGTCGCGATAATTTAATTAACGCGGGGCAAAGTAGCGGGGAAGGG